ACACATACAGAGACAACACACACCGAGACAACAATACATATAGAGACAACACACACCGAGACAACACAGACAGAGATCACACAGACAGAGACACACACACAGAGATCACACACACAGAGACCACACTCTGACATTGGTTTTCAGTTAGCTCAGGTCCCAAGCTGAGAAGGAAGGTGAAAGAACGGAAAGGTGCATGAGTCCGCAGAAAAGTATTGTTTAACACAAGTTTCACGACAAGCGCATGTGGAAGCGGCGTTCAGCAGCTGCAGTGCGGTGGGAAACCTGTTTATGGGGAAGGATCACATGAAACACCATGAATCAAACCAAAAGAGTGGACAGCGTGTGCAAAAGTTCATTGAGCAGGTACACAATGCGGCGTCCCGCATTGCTTCAACACGAGCTGACAGCGTCTTCGTTGGGCAGCGTCTGTCACTCGTGCATTGCCCCCCTGCATTAGTGGAAAAAGGAACCCGTAGGAACAGGGGTTGACACACACACAGGTAGCCGAAGTCGGCGCAGGCATATGAAAAGGTGACGTCGTCTGCATTTTTCTCAAAAAACGCCGGCATGCTGTTGGATCATGTCCTTTTTGGACGTACAGCCGGATAAGCTCTTCAGCCGCTGCCGCTGCGGTGTTGGGTGGAAAGGTGTATGTGTATATTGCGTGGAGTCTGGAAGCTAAGCCGGAAAGAGCCAAGCGCTGGCTACCGGCGCTGGTGGGATCCCTGATTTTCCAGGGTTGCGTGGGTTGGATGTAGGTGATGTTGCGTTGTGGTAGATCTATGTTGAAGCCCAGGAGGTGAAAGTCATCGACTGTTTCCAGTTCCACTGGATCGCCAAAGAAGTTGTGGTGAATGAGAGTCTGTATGGCTGGGTAGGAGAGGAAGTGTTCGTTGCGCACGATAAAGCGGTTGTCGACTTATCTGTAGTAAGTAAAATGGAGGGCTGTGTGCTGGAGAAAGTTGTTGTGGAGCTGGTGCCAGGAGTGTTCAATGAGGGTGATGGCAACATTGCAAAGGGCAGGAGAGAGTTGGGAGCCAATCCCAGCCACTCGGATTTGTTTGTAGGTGTTGTTGCATGCCCGGAAAATGCAAGTGTTGAGTGCAAAGGCCACAATAGTGGTGATGTCGGATGTATGGAGAGTGCGTTGGGTGGGGTGTTTGGTGTGGTGTCTGCCAACGTGGGAGTGATGGAAGGGGTTGCCAGTGGCTTTGGTATCAACTGTCAAGGTGTGTGTAGTGTTTTGGTGCTGCCATTGTTGAATCATAGAGTGAACTGCGTCAATGAGGCGGTGTTGGGGCACTGAGTTGAAGAAGCCCACAAGGTCATCGTTGGTCGCGTGAAGCGGGATGTCGGCCGGTGTGTGGGCAAGGTAGCAGTGGAAGTGGCGCCATAGTTGTGGGATGGACAGTTGGCCTGGATGTTGTGGGAAGAGGTGTTGCAAGATGATGTCGAGTGCTCGACTGGTGATGCGTAAGAAGTTGCCACTCACGGAGTGGAAATACGAGATAATGGTGCGTCCTTTCTGCCACTGCTTCTTGGCCTTGAGGTGGACAATGCCGTATGGGATGGTGAAATCCTTTCTGAATCCCCATTTGTATCGGGAGCGAAGGCTGGCCGGTATGGTGGCGGAAAGGTGGTCATGGATGTTTGATGAATTGAGATGCAGTGGGACTCTGTGGCGATACACACTTAGATGGTTGCTCGCAAGGGCTAGGATCAGAATGAAGTCCCCCTTGACTTGAATGAACTGAATGGCGCAGGAACCGCAAGGTGAAAAGTCCGTTCATTTGAAGGTGTTGTAACAAGTTTTCCTCAGCGCATTAGACCTTTAATGCACAACACCGCATTGGACAGCTTGAAAACCGTTCAAACATATGTAGCAGGTACGTCAGTTCCGCGTCCGGAACTGATATCCTCACCGGGTATTGCCAGCTTCGTTGGTGGAGAAGCAATACCGGTGTCTCCACCCCCTGCTGCTGTACAATTGAAAAATGCTGACCGAAATGATGAGGTGCTGATGAAGTCTCAAAACCTGTGGGACAAGGAAAGTGGAAAGCCTTAGGAACAGGTGGTGACACACACTCTGACATGGGTTTTCAGTTACACTCAATTCCCAGGTAAAATGGCGATGGAACGGCAAGGTGGCAGAGAGGTATTGTTTAACAAAGGTTGGTGCACATCTGCAGCTCACAAGATCGGCGGTGTCAAACGTCGGCGCGGCGCAGCTGCTGGGGAAGAGTAGGTTTGGGGGAAGTATCATGAACCACCATGGAAACAAAAAAGGAGATTGGACAGCTTGTGCAAAAGTTGTGGCAGGTACACACCAAAGCGTCCTCTGGTGCTTCCCCTGTCACATCCCAGCTTCGTTGGGCCAGGTTGGATGTGACAGGCCTGGCCCCCCTGCTTGTGAAACATTGGTGATTGTGAAGGTGGTGGCGAACCCTTCGGCACAGGGGTTGACACACACACAGATCGCCGTAATCGGCGCTTTTTCTTTTCAAAAACCGGCTGCAAGCAATTGGGTTGTGTCCTTTTTGGACGTAGAGCTTCACTAGCTCAGTGGCAGCAGCGTCGGCGCTTGAAGGTGGAAAGGTGTATTTATGGATGGTGTGAAGTCTGGATTGGAGGCCTGACAGAGCCAAGCGCTGGCTCCCGGCGCTGGTTGCATCCCTGATTTTCCAGGGTTGTAGAGGTTGAATGTAGGTGATAGTACGTTGTTGTAGGTCAATGTTGAAGCCCAGGAATTGGAAATCGTCAACTGGTTCAAGTTCCACTGGGTCTCCAAAGAAGTTGTGATGGATGAGGGTTTGAATGGCTGGGTGGTGGAGGAAGTGTTCGTTGTGGACAATGAATCTGTTGTCAACATATCGGTAGTATGTAAAGTGCAGGTCGGTGTGTTGGAGTAGATTGTTGTGGATCTGGTGCCAGGAGTGTTCAATGAGGGTGATGGCGACGTTGCATAGGGCTGGAGAGAGTTGGGATCCAATCCCAGCCCCTCGGATTTGTTTGTACGTGTTATTGCATGCCCGGAAAATGCAGGTGTCGAGTGCGTAGGCGACAATGGTGGGAATGTCGGAGGTCTGGATGGTACGTTGTGTGGGGTGTTTTTGGTGATGTCGGT